GGTAGTACTCTATGGTTTGTGGTTACATTTCAAGAGCGCCACAAGGAAACGCTAGGTCGGTCAAACGCACAAAAAAGGAGGAGGAGGAGGAGGAGGAGGAGGAAGAGGAGGAGGAGGAGGAGGAGGAGGAGGAGGAGGGGGAGGAGGAAGAGGAGGAAGGGGTGGAAATGAGGAACAGGGGGAAGCGGAGGAGGAGGAGGAGGCACTACAGACGACAAGGAGGGGATGGCGTCCTAGGTGCTCTATTGGGCCATCCTGGGGGCCTCCTGTGGGCCTTTTGGAGGTCTCTTGGGGCCTCTTGGGCGCTTCTTGGGGGGCGCCCTCGGAGGCCGTCTTTGGGACCCCTCTGGGCAGTTGCAGTGCCCTCCTGGAGCACTATGGAGCCGTCTTGGGGCTCTCCTGGGAGGCGTTTGGGCGACTTGTGGGTTCTCTTTGGTCGACTTGGGGCCCCCTTTGGGGGCCTCATGGGTTGCCTTGGAGCTATATTGAAAGCGTTTTGGACCGTCTTGGGCGGTTGGAACTTCAAAGCCCTTCCAACAACTACGGAGCATCACTGCTTATCTCCTCCTCGTGGGCCTCTTCTGTCTTCATGGGTGCCTTTTTGGGCCGGGCCGTCTGGCGCCTTCGGATGCCATCTTGGGGGCCTCTATGGGCAGTTTTGGTGCCCTTTCGGGGCGATTTAGGGCCGTCTTGGGGCTCTGATGGGGTCTTTTGAGCGATCTGGGTCCTCTTAGGCCGAGTTGGGACCCTCATTGGGGCCCCTTGGATAGTCTTGGGGCTATATGGCGGCCGCTTGGGCTTTCTTGAGTGATCGGGGGGCGAACTAAGTGAGAATGTCAGAATCATTCAAACACTTGAGGACCTAATGTTTGTTTGTCTCCTCGGGCTCTCCTAGATCGCCTATTGGAGCCTTTTTGGGCCGTCTTGGAGGCCCAAGACCGTCTTGAGGCCGTCTTGAAAGCCTCTTGAGCCGACGTGGGCCATCTTTGGCCGTCTTGATGTCATCTTGGCGGTCTTGGAGGCTTGGTTGGAGGTCATCTTGGATGCCATCTTGGCCGCCTGAAGGCCGACACGAGCACTGCAAAGCAATTTCAAGGATTGTATTTTCGAGCGGTGCGTGCAGGGCAGGGAGGTCGAACCTAGAATACAATAAACACCTCCCAGGTAACATATGAGCATTCTAATACGCCCAGTCCGTGAAGGCACAGTGGCGGATACGACGAACGTGCGCGGCGCTGAGGCGGCGGTCCCATTTTGAGAATAGGCCGCCCTCGATCCGTGCAACGGTTGCAAGTTTGCAGCACGAACGTGTGCGGTTTCAAGGCGTTGCGGCGATCGCCCCATCTTGAAAACCATTCTCTGTATCCTTGTCGCCACGGCAAGTTTGTAGGACGAATGCGCGCAGCTCTACTGCGAGAGCTCCATTTCGAAACCGCCCTCCTCCGTCCTTGTAGCTGTTGCAAGTTTTTAGGACGACTGTGCGAGGCGGTTTGGAATACACCACCCCTCCATCATTGCAGCTTTTGCAAACAACAGGCTTCAGGATATACTCGGGGGGAAGTCCCAGGCGAAACGCATGGCCCGCCCTACGGACATGTCTTGGGGAGCGGCAGGGAGGAGTAATCTAAAACGAAAAACGGTGGAGTGGTGCCGATCGTCTGCTGCCACAGGGCTCAAGGCCAATCAGAGATTTTTGTCAGCACGGCCGCCACCATGGTTGCTCAGCTGGCTCTCGGATGAGCTCAAGGCCTCAAGGCCGGTGCTGTGCCTCAAGGCAGGTGCTGTGCCTCTGTTTTAAGGCGCGTGTTGGACGGGCCCGCGGCGCACGCGCGAATGTGCCCGATCTGATGGTAACTGACACATGGGGTATCGTCATCGTCGTCGTCGTCTTCGTCATGAAATGTCTGCGCGGACTGCGCACTCATTATTTAATCGCTTCGCTCATTCCGCCGGCCAGTATTGTGCCATCGGAGGCGTTTGCCTCCGCACTCGTGGCCTCTTGGGGCCTCTTCTGGCCGCTTGGGGTCCTCTTGGGGCCTCTTTTTGTGCCTCTTGGGGGCCTCGTGGGGCCTCCAGCGGGCCTCCTGGGCTCTCTTGGGGGTCTCTTGGGGCCTCATGGGGGCCTCTTGGGGCGGAAGGCTCGACTTGATGGTTTTTGTTTCCTCTCTTGGGCCCCTCTTGGGGCCGTCTTGGGGCCCTCTTGGGCGATCTTGGGTGTCTCTGGGGCCTTTCTAGGGCCCTCTTGGACCGTCTTGGGGTCCTCTTGGGGGCCTCTCGTGCCGTATTGGGGCGGTCTTGGGGGCCTCTCGGGCCATCCTAGAGCATCAGAAGCCCGAAAACGTGAGAACGCGAAAAACATAGAAAAACAAAAGGACAATAAATGATTGTTGTTTCTTGTGACCCTCTTTGGGGTCCTTTTGGAGCGCTCTTGTGACTTCTTTGGGGCCTCATGGGCCGCCTTGGGGCCATTTTGAGTGTCTTGGAGCGCTCTTAGGCCGTGATTCCGATTCGTGGGCCCTCTTGGAGCTGCCTTGAGGTTCCTTGGGCCGCTCCTGGGGCGGTCTGGAGGGCCCCGGAAACCGCCCCTGGGAGTTCTGGCATCCTTGAGCCGAATTTGCCGGGACTTTGCCAGGACGTTGCAAGGAGTCGGCAGGGTTTTTATTTGTGATGGGGACGCTCAGGGGCCGCCCCACGCGCGCGAACTCGAATATACATGTCCTGTTGTCCCAGATCTTAGCACGCGCTTGGCCCGTTGGGCCAGCGATGTTTGCCCTTGTGCTGGTTTTTCGTTGTGTGCTTTTCTTGGCTGACAAGAGCGGGCCGAAGCGAACTATAGAGGAGGAGAAGGAGGAGGGCGAGGAGCCGGTGCAAGGGGACTTCCCCCTCGGCTTCCCCCCGCCTCCCCTTCTCCCTCCTTCGCCATCCCTCCCCCGGGGAGGCATGAGGATGAGGATGATGAGGATGAGGATGAGGATAGGGATGAGGATGCGGATGAGGATGAGGATGCGGATGAGGATGAGGATGATGCTGCTGATGATGATGCTGATGATGGTGGTGGTGATGCTGATGGTGATGATGACGATGATGATGATGATGATGACGACGATGACGATGACAATGATGACGACGATGATGATTTTGCTGCTGATGATGATGGCGATGATGTTGATGCTGATGATGATGCTGGTGCTGATGCTGCTGATGATGCTAATGCTGACCATGATGACGATGGGACGAGGAGGAGGAGGACGACGAGGATGGTGATAATGATGAGGAGGATGAGGATGATGATGATGACAATGATTTTAAGGATGATGATGCTGATGATGCTGATGATGATGCTGATGATGATGATGATGATGATGATGAGGATGATGATGATGATGATGACTATGCTGCTGATGATGATGTTGATGATGGTGGTGATGATGATGGTGATGATGGTGGTGTTTGTGGTGGTGAGCATGATGATGAAGAGGAGGAGGAAGAGGATGAGAAGGCATGGAGGCATAGAGGCATCTATCCAGGCCCGGGGAGAGGAAGCCGAGGGAGGGGATGAGGAGGGTGAGCTTACAATTTGTTGATTTGTTTGCGAATGAGATGGTTGACCAGGGGTGTTGTCTGCGTGCATTCGTTGAGGCTGGGGTTCGGGTGCGGCTCGTTCTGGCTGCCCTGTCAGGCGACACCCGTTAAATCTTCACGAGAGCGGAAGGCGTGCGCTCGGTAAACATGTTCAGTACAAGTTCAGTGCTGGAGCGCACGCCGTGGGCTGCTAGAACGCCCGCGCTCCGTAAATACACGGTGCTGGAGCGAACCCCGTGGGCTAGTGGAACGCCCGCGCTCGGTCGCAACACAGTGCTAGAGCGCACCCCTGTTTTCGGCATTAGCTGCTGAAGCGTTCTACCTCGCAAAAATTGGGCGCTTGAGCGACACCCGTTTAAGGTTTCAGAAGTATGAATCGGACGGGTGGTGTAAGGGACGCAGCGGGGGGCAGGGTTGCTAGCATTGTATTCACGCCTCGCTCTCGAACGGGGCCCGTTACGCATTCGCCTTGCCACACGTACCGTAGCCCTCTCGATAAAGTATCACGTGTGTTGCAATCTCACGTGCAACAATCTCCCACTTGTCGGGACGGACGGGCCTGCGGGCATAAAGCTGGTGGGGGCCTTCGGGTGGCGTGGAGGAAGAGAGCGACTAGACAAATGGAGGATACGGGGGACGGGGGGTACACAGTATCCTGGCTCTTGGGGGCAGTGCATGCAAAGGAGGAAGTGGGTGAAGTAGGTTGACATAGAAAATGAGGCGACGCTCCCTCGCGCCCAGCGGAACTTCAAACTTCGGTTACGAAAGCTTAGGAGTAGCCAAAAGTCCACATGGGCCTGCGCGCGACTGGAGGATGCTCACGAGAAGCAGGAGAAGAATGAGGAGGAGGATGCTGATGATGCTGCTGCTGATGATGATGTCGATGATGTTGATGATGATGGTGATGATGATGCTGATGATGATGACGATGATGATGTTGTTGTTGATGATGCGGGTACTTATGATAATGGTAATGATATGCTGGTGATGATTGGTGGTGGTGATGATGATGATGATGCTCATGATGATGATTTGTGGCTGCTGCCAGTGATGATGATGATGATGATGATGATGATGATGATGATGATGATGATGATGATGATGATGATGATGATGATGATGATGATCGGTGGAAGATGATCGGTGATGGTACTGCTGCTCCTGATGATGAGGAGGAGGAGGAGGAGAAAGAGGAGGAGGAGGAGGAGGAGGAGGACGAGGAGAAAGAGGAGGAGGACGAGGAGGAGGATGAGGAGGCGGAGAATGAGGAGGAGGAGGAAGTAAAGAAGGAAGGAAGGAACGACAGAAGGAAGAAGATGATGAGAAAGAGGAGAAGCACGAAGCAGCCCAGTACCGCCCTCTCAGCCCTCCCGAGCACAGCTGCCCGGGCGGGCGGGGCCTGCGCTTTCCCCCCTGAGGCACCTACCTGACTGTGGAGAGCTCCGGGTCCGTGGTCGCGGGGAGCCCTGGGTGGGGATTCTGCCGTTTGTCGCTCATGGCGGGAGTCAGAAACGCAATGATCGGGTTTTGGTGATGGGGCTGGCAGACATGATCAGATCATCGGCATTTTCGCGTATGCTGAAGGTGTTTATGATGCAGTCGTACCCTGTATCTTCCCAACCCCTTTTTCCCCAAGCGAACATTGTCTTTCTAAGGGAGGGAGATCGGTCGGCGGTGAAATCCGAACCTTAACCTGGCAGGTCACCGATTCAGGCATCTCGATAGGCGGCGGGGTATGGGTCGGGATTCGTCGAACGCTTGCCGAAATTCGAACCCTACCCCCGCCTCCCGTCGATGCGGGAAAATCGTTGGTTGGTGGGAGTAGGGTTCGGATGTCGCCGCCTCTGCGGGGGAGGGTGGCAGAGGATCAGGAGAGGAAGAGACACCGATGCGGCTACCATTCCCTCGTCGCCTCGGCTGGATTCGTTTCGAAATTCTTGTCAGAACGCACCGCTGGAAAGGTCCGGGGAGCGATCCCTACCCCTTCGGCCCCCCAGAGGCGGGAAGGAGGAATGGGTAGGCAGTCCTTTCTCTTCTTTGGCTTCTTCGCTCCGCGGAGGGTGGGGGGCCGTTCCTGCTGCGAGAGCTCTTGGACGAGAGCTTCGAACCGTCGGCACGGATGCCCCGATCGGCGCGCTCCGTGGGCCACGCTCAGGCTCTCGGGGGCTGAATTTCGGCAGTCTGGCAACGCGTGTGCACCATCACGGGGAGGGGGCGGCAGAGGAGGGGATGGGGAGGTGTTCTGGGCACAGGGGGGAAAGGGAGGGCGCGGGGAGGGCGGGCGGCAGGCTGGTAACAAATGTGTGCCATCAGTGGACGGGGGCGGCAGAGGAGGAACGTGAGGTGTTTGGGGCACAGGGGGGGCAGAGGAGGGCGCGGGGATGGCGGGGCGAGCGCGATGGGGTCCGATTCGATGCGATTCGATTCGCCGGCCGGGGCCGAGATTTCGATTCGACTCGATTCGGTTTGATTCATTGACATCCTCCGGGGCCAGCCGGAGCAGGGCGCGGCGATCCGATTTCGACTCGATTCGGGACGATTCGCCAGCGATCCGATTCGTCTCCGATCCGATCTGGCTTTGCGATTCGATCGAGCTCAGGCCTGGAAGGATAGGAGTGCATGGGAGAGGCTTTCGCATCGCTGCTGGTTGTTGCCTTTCTACCTGCCTTTCTACATTTCTTTAATCAGTATCGTTCAACCGGTCCTTATCCATATCCCCACCCCCATCCCGATCCCTACCATCCCACCACCCCAGTTGGGAATATGCACCCCGAAACCCGAAGGGAACAGCCTATATCCCCATCTACTGGGGTAAATCGGTCAGTGGGGCCCAGGCCACGCAGGCGGGGAGAGTGGTCGGTCAAACGATGCTCAGTTCTTCTTTTCTGTAGGTCGACGTCAAAATGCCGTTCTTCTCTTTCCCCTTCGTGTCCTTGGCCGGCTCCCTGCCCTGCCGGGGAGCGGCCGCATCAGCTGCTACCAGGGCAGCCGCGCCCCGACATAAATAGCGACGTGGAACGAGCTCACTTTGGCACGGACGAACTGGGTACTGAAAGAGTGGGCGCGATACTCAACATCACTTCCTGCTCATTTTGAAGAGGGCTCGCTTTCCGCGCCGCCGCGGACGTTGCCCATCTGAGACAGAAGGCCGCCTGGCCCTCAGCGGCCGCCGTCGATTTTGGACATCTCGGCTGCCCGAGGCTTCCGCTGTGGGCCGCCGCTGGGTCCACGCTGCGCTACGCCGCCTGCTTCGGCTGCTGCTGCTGCTGTGTTTGTAGTTGGGTTTTATTTACGTTATCCAAGCTTGAGCGTCTTGGATGGAGCGTTCGGCTGGTGCAACGAAACTGGCTTCGCGCAGTGATGGATAAGCTAATGCGAGTTAGGCGGCAGACCTGTACGGTATCGGAGGGACAAACAATACTGGAAAAGCGGCGTGCCCAGATAGGGCGCAAAGTAACCGCGCCTGCCGCCGCGGTGAAAAAAGTGGGGAGAGCGCTTCGAAACCATCACCGCCTCCAAATACGCGTGCAAGAAACTGTGCTGAGTAGTGCTCGCACTCGGCGGGGGAGGGATCTGGCACTCGGCGGCCTCCGCCGAAGCCCCAAATGGCCATACATGTGAGAAGTGCTCCCCTAACCCCCCCTGCTAAGACCCACACCTCCCAACTCCGACCCCCCCCTTAAAAAGTCAGATTCAGCATCCCAAGTGCAGGCGACGGCTGATGTGTCCTAGTAGTAGTGCGGCGCTGCGAAGCTTGCCTGGTTGAAATTGGCTGGCCTGTGTCGTCCATCTGTTTTGATGCTGGTACAGTGGCTGGCTCAGGCAGTGCTGGCTGGCCAAGTTGTATGGAACAGCTGAGTGAGTGCTGGTTTTAAGCATCCTAGGAGCAGGCGGCGGCTGCAGATGGTACACATCGAAATGAGACACTGCGACCTGGCAGGTGAAACAGTGGCTGGTCTGTGTCGTCAATGTTTACTGATGCTGTTGCTAGTGGCTGGCCCAGGCAGTGCTGGCTGGCCAAAGTGGTGTAGCGCAGCTGAGGAAATTTTGATACAGGAACTGCAATGAGTATAGTGCTCACGCGCAGCGTCTGGCAACGTACAAGCGGTGGGACCACGCCCTGTAGTCCAGGGGGGCCCGATCTACTGCTGTGTGCCCCTCACCCCCCCCCCCAATCCCCCCAGTGAACGTCTCATCCTCCACCCCTCCGTCCCTCCCTTGGTAGAGTCAATGAGAAAACCTGGGAGCAGGCAATAGCTAAAGATGGCGAGGTGGCGATGAGCATTGCGAGGCCTGTCAGGCTAAAGTTGGCTGGCCAGTGTCGAGTCAATCCCTTCGGATTTCGAGTTGGTAGAGAACCTGAAACAGGTAATGACAACAACGTAAATGTGGCGTTGCAGCACTGCCAGGCTTGTCAGGTTAAGTTGGCTGGACTGTGCCAAGTCATCTGCTCTAATCCCTCTGTCACATGATGCTCCTCCTCCTCCTGCTCTTCCTCGCCCTCGTCTCCCCCCAGGAGCCTGACGGTGGGCAAGCACGAGAGGTTCAAGCGCAAGCGGAACAGCGATGGGACCGTCTCGCTCGCGACAGCGCACGGTGTTCTCCAGCACATGGGGCCTCAGCGGGGAGAGGCAGGACGAGCAGAGCCCATTCGCTCTCCTCGTGCTCATCGTCGTCGTCCTCCTCTTCCTCCTCCTCCTCCTCGTCCTCCTCCTCGTCGGTTTCCTCCTCTTTTGAATACTTCAGTAAAGGTTTGCTTGGAAGAGAATTGCAGAGTGCGCCGCCCTGCCGCAACCGCGGGGCTCAAGCTTTCACGGGCGTCCGCACGCTTCTCGCGCGCGTCGCATGCCCGACTTGCCGGTGGCTGTCGCGCATTGGGCTGGGCAGGCAACCTTCGCCTGGCTCGGTTCCTGTCCGCGGTGCCCCGAGCCCGTCTGTGGCTCCCTCGTGTGCGGCGAGGTGCACTGCCCCCCGGCGCCAGCGTGCCCGCAGTGCCCCGCGTGCCCGGGCTGCCCCGGGGCCCCCGAGCCAGCCTGCACCACCCCTGCGGCAGCGCCGCCGTGGCTCCCTGGCTGGATCGCGTCCGCTGGACTCCTGCTGCTGGGCGCGGCTGGGGGAGCAGTGGTGCCTGCCCTCGCGCTGGGCATCTGGCAGGTGCTGCGCTGGCTGACGGCTCAGTGTCCCCGCCGCGAGACTGATGGCGGCGGCGATGCCCCCAGCGGTACTACGACCCTGGCTGTGGCTCCGGTACCAGGGCGAAGCGCTGTACCACCAGCGGCGCGTCGTCGGAGTGCTGGCCTCCTCGGCGACTCAAGCGACTGACGCTGACGAGGTCATCGGCGTCTCGCCGGACGGCGACCCCGAGCAGATCGACCTCTCGGGGGCCTCGCGGGACGTCGAGGCTTGGCGATGGTCGGAGGCCTTCCGCCCTCCCCCGCCTGGGATCCCGCGAGGCCAGGTGTACCGCTTCCAGCATGAGCCCGACGCCGCTGCCCTCGCCGCGATGCGCGTGGACGCGGAGGCGTTCTGCAACGCCGCCTTCCTCGCGCGCGAGCGGGCGGCAGGACAACCTGCTGTGCTCCCGGCGACGGGCAGCCTGGTCGATGCCGTGTGGCCCGCGCCCGTGGCGCCAGCTGCGGCCGCCGCCGTGGCCCCCGCAGCCCTCGGGCTGCCGCTGGCGCTCCCTGGGATGGCGCCCCCCCCGGGCCCTCCGGCCCTTGGCGCCCCCGCCGCGGCCGCCGCCCCGCTGGCCCTGCTCGGAGCACCCCCGGCCGTGCTGCCCGGCGCTGCACCACCGGGGGCTGTGATGGCGGCCCCGCTGGCCGCCGCGGCGCCTGGAGCCGCCGCCCCGGCCGCTTTCCCCGCGGCCATGGCTGCTGGCGCCCCAGCTGCTGGGGCCCCGCTAGCCGCAGGGCTTGGCATGGTGGCAGCGGCGCCCTACCCGATGCTGGTCACGGTCGAGACGACGACGTACGGCCCTCGCGGGTCTCCAGTGGCGCCGAATGGCTCGGAGGTCATGTCCAGTGACATCGGCATCCACGTGGCTCGTGGCGTGTTGGTTCGGACGATCCGCTCCGACCAGGTGCAGGATTTCAAGGGCCTTGAGGCCGCGGGCGACGCCCGCCTCCTCAGCGTGATCGCGCTGAATGGCCAGCGTACCCGTCGCCCATGGCGGGACGTGTCCAACTCGCTGTCCGAGATCGCCTTCCCCGACTGGGCGATAGAGGGCCCTCGCACCACCCTCTGGTGTTGCCGCTGGATCGACCGTCGAGGCGGCGGGCCGCTCGATCACCACCGTTTCTTCGTGATGGTCCACCGCCTCAACAAGGACAGCTGGGGCGTCCCGATGCATGAGTTCGGGATGAAGGCCCTGGAGACTCTCGGCGCCTACGACTCGCTCGACCTGCCGAACGTCGCGGGGATCGAGTCGCTGATGCGCGAGGTGCAGCTGGTCGAGTACGCGTACGCGAAGCACGACGGCTTTGCTGGCGCCAGCACCGAGGTGGCCGACGGCGACCCGAGTGCCAAGAAGAAGGGCCGTGGCCGTGGCCGCGGCCGAGGAGGCGCCGCTGGCGCTTTCGGCTACCTGGATGAGCACACGGCTTTTCGGGGGCAGCGAGAGACGGGAGACGCGATGGTGTGTCCCGCCCTGGTCGAGTGGGTTGGCAAGCAGGTCGAACGCGATGCCAACATCCTGAAGCAGGTCCGAAAAGCCCGAGAAGAACGGGCTGATGCGGGCCATGGTCCAAATTAGCTTTGGACACGCAGCGGTCGTTCCCCCAGGCGCCCGCTGATCACCTTCTGAGGGGCTAGGCTCGCTGCGGCAGGCGCGCCTCGATTTTCTGCCAACAGAGGCGCAGGGCCGCGCCAGCATCTCTCCCTCCTCCTCCTGTCCTCCTCGTGCTCTGGCCATCGCGTGGCGCCTGGCCCCATGTCGAGAGCGTGCCCTCGTGATCTCTTCCCCTTGCCTGTGCCGGCCTCCTCTGACCCCCCTAGGGCCTCTGTCTCGCGCAAAGTTCGTAGGAGATCCGAGGTCCACCGTCAGTCAGCATCCTTGGTCTCCGAGGTGGCTTCGGTCTTGAATCAGCTACACGGTCGACACGGTTTGGACAGCGGTCAAACAGTATCGGCGGCCCAGAAGGCGTGTTTGGAGCATATCCACCGAGCGGTTCTACGATTTGGCAAGCCCCCGGTAGACCCCACCTCAGCAGGGGCCTTACGAGAGCTCCGCGTCAACCCAGGCTACTCCGTGACGAGCAGCCCCGTGGTTCCCATCAGCGAGGCCAATATAAACAGGGTCGCCCTTCCTCCTGTCGGGTGGTCACCTGCTGGAATTTTGCAGCTGGGCGGCTCTGTCGGCGAAGCCATAGTTGATGAGTTGCATGCGCTACGGCGTCCTGACCCAGCACTTACAGATACTTCTACACCTCCTCCCAGAATGTACCACGATCCTTATCTCCGCTCTCATCCTCGGCTTTACGCGCGCTTCCTGCTTCGCCTCAGTCAGTCTAACCTTGTGACGTGGAGGCGAGAGTGTACATCTTGTGTGGGAGTTTTCTTTGTGGCTAAAAAGAACGGTGACCTTCGGTTGATCCTCGACGGGCGTCAGGCAGGCGAACATTTCGATTAGCCCCCTCACGTTGACCTAGCTACTGGTTCGGCGTTCTCGGCCCTGGAGGTTGACGGTGGGGGGCCCATCTACGTTGGAGAGACGGACATTGAGAATGCTTTCGATGGGATTCAGTTACCTCCGGAGTTTTGGCAGTTTTTCGGCCTTCCTCGAGTACGAGCTGGGGTCCTAGGTATCACTACCGACAGCGCTGGAGGCCCCTTGAGGGCCAGCGACTGGGTTACCCCGTGTTTTACCGCCGTCCCAATGGGATGGAAGCACAGTCTCTGGATCTGTCAGCGTATCATGGAGTTTCGGGCCCGCACCAACACGTTGGCCTCCCCCAGTCTGGCCTTTGACGATGCGCACCTTCCTGTCCGTCTGGTTCGATCTTCCACGCAGATACTACATACAGAGTACGTTGACAACTTCGTTGCCCTTGGCCTCTCGAAGGACCCCACGTATGCCGTGACTGACTCCGTCGATCGCAGTCTCCGGGACGCTGGGTTTCGCACCCGCGGTCCGACGGTATCGGCTGGCGGGGGTGTTCTCGGTTGGACCTTCGACCAGGACGCCCCGACGATCGGGATCAGTCACCGCATAGGCTGGCGGATGCGACTAGGGTGTCTGGCCGTCGCGAACATGAAGCACGCCTCGGGGGATCTTGTCAGGGTCGTCGTGTCACATTTCACGTCTCGTGCTCTGCTACGCCGTGAATTACTTTCATGCTTCGTATTCCTTCATCGAGTCGTCAGGCCACAACACGCGTGTTCTCTGGAGTTCAGTCAAACGTGAGCTTCGGTGGTGTGCCGCTCTTATCGCACTCGCTTTCCGCGACGTCAATGCCGCCTGGTCCCCCATGGTCTACTGCGCCGACGCGTCCTGGTGGGGCGCGGGGGTCGTCAGGGGCATCCGCGGCGTCCAGGAAGTCCAGCGCGCGGGCCACTACACGGAGCGTTTGCGGTACTCAGCGGCCCACGAGGCCATCCTCAAGCCACGGGACTCGGCTCTGAAATGTTCGGTCAGCGGCGGTGTCACCGCCTCCTCCCAGGACTCCGAGATCCCGATGGCCCAGTTCCCCGAGGTCCCTGAATCGGTTTACGGCGGCGACTGGTCCCTCGTTATGTCCCAGAAGTGGTCCCACAAGGAAGCCCAGGTTGTCTTGGAGGCTCGGTCGCTCGTGCTCACCGTGAAGAACATAGTTCGGAACACTCAGAACTTCGGTCGCAAGCACCTGGTTTTGAACGACTGCATGGCTCCCATTCTTGCGTTTACCAAGGGATGATCGTCGAGCCCTGGGATTCTACAGTGTTGCCGTCAGACGGCTGCCATGTTGTTGGCCTCGAACACGTATATCGGCTGGAGGCGGGTCCCATCAGAATCCAACGCAGCCGATGCCGCTTCTCGAGGTCGGGCAGGAGCTTTCCGATTCAATGCTGCGCCGAATCCAGTTGCAGCACTCGGGCCCGCGGGGCTCGAGGCTCTCCGCGATGGCTTCCTCGGCGACAGCCGCGACGGCGGGCCCGCAGCTGGTGCCGCGCCCCCCGGGCGCTCACGCCGGGGGCCTGCCCCGCGCGGAGGTGGCGCCCAACCTCCCGGCGCCCTCCTCGCGGCACCCATACCGCGAGTGGGTGCCCCACGGCCCCGGCGCCCAGGAGGAAAGGGCCGCCAAGCAGGCGAGGGCCTTCCCTGCTGCCGCAGAGGCCCCAACGCCGCCGGGCGCGCCGACCTCCCTCGAGCTGCAGAGCATCTCGCCGAAGGCCGCCCAGGACTACCAGACGTACGTGGCGGCGTTCTACCAGTGGGGCCAGGAGCGCAACCTGTTCAGCGACATCGCGACCTCCCTGAGGTCGGCGCCGGCGATCGACCTTGCCCTCGTGACGTACATGCACGAGAAGTTCTTCGCAGGCGAACTCTCCTACGTGCCGACGAAGCTGATCGCGGGTCTCCGCTACTTCTGGACATACCCCAACGGAGCGCTCCTCGAGCTGCCCCGCAGCTTTCGCGCCCTGACGGGCTGGAAGCGCATGGTGCCCGCCCAGAGCCGCTTGCCGTACCCCTGGGTCGCCCTGTGCCTGCGCGTGCAGTACATGATTGCCGCGGGCCAGGTCATGGAGGCACTGGCCTGCATCATCACCTTCACGTTCTACCTTCGCCCAAGCGAGTGCCTGCGTCTGCAGGGGAAGCTGATCGCAGCTCCTGCCCAGGCGCCTCGCCGCGTGCAGGGCGGCCAGGGCCAGATGCGGCCCCTCCTCCTGCACCCGCAAGAGGGCGGCGACACGTCCAAGACGGGCCGCGTGGACGAGAGCTTGCTGGCGGACAACCCCCTGTTCCCGTGGCTGCCGCAGGTGCTGGGCCTCCTGAAGGCCAAGTTCCCCCACTCGCTGGTCTTCAACTTCGGCCAGGCGCAGCGGGGCCGGGCCTTGAAGGGCGCGGCAAGCGCCTGCGGGCTCAACGCCCTGGGCGACCCGTGCCTGCACCGCCTCCGCCACGGAGGGGTGTCGCACGACCTCCTCTTCAAGGCGCGCTCCCTCCTAAGCGCCAAGAAGCGCGGCCGCCGGGCAAGCGACCGCAGCCTAGCCCGTTACGAGCGGGGCGGGCGCATCAACGAGCAGCTGAGCCTCCTGACCCAGGACATCCTCATCGCCGCCGACCTGGCGGCCTCGAACATTGGCGCAACCCTCGTGAATGCCTTCCGCTCTTTGTGAAGCAGCGGGGCGTCCCCGCGGCGCTCGAGATCTTCGCAGGCTCCGGGCACCTTTCTGAGGCCTGGCGCCGATCCATGAGGTTGGCTGGCCACCCTGTTTTCGAGATCGACATGCGGCACGGGGTGGAGCACAACATGTGCAGTAAGGCCCTGGTCAAGTTGATCCGGGGCTGGGTCCAGGGTGGGCTCGTGATGGCCGTGTTCATGGGCACGCCGTGTAACTCTTTCTCTTTGGCAAGGAACCGCCCAAACGGCCCCCCGACCCTCAGGACGTCCGAGTACCCCGAGGGCCTCCCCGAGCTCAAGGACAGCTGCCGCAAAGAAGTCGACCTCGGAAACTCCATGTGTGCCGCGAGTTTCAGTATCTTTCGTGAATGCCGTCTATCTGGATGCCCAGTGATCGTCGAGAACCCCGCGAGCTCCCACCTCTGGAGGCAGCCCCTGGTCCTCAAGGTCCGGCATCTTCCTGGTGTTTCAGAGGTGGTTTTCGACATGTGCGCCTTCGGCACCATCTGGAGAAAATCCACTCGACTTCTTGGGTGTCACGTTGATCTTCGACCACTGGATATTCGATGTAGAGGCAGAGGTGTATGTACGTTCGCTGGCTCCCCTCACTTTACCTTGGAGATGAAAGGCTCCAAGATCGTATCGAAGCAGGCGGAGGTCTACCCCTTCTCCGTATGCCGGGCCATTGTGAGGGTATTTCGGGATGTTCTATTGCAACAACGTGCTAATACATTTCGGCCTCATGTTTGAGTCCAGGGCGGTGTTCGCGGAGGTTTTCCTGTTCCTGGGCTTTACACTGGTTCGGATTTTCTACAGTACTGTTTCCTGGTCTGTACGTTGTCCCCTCCCCTGCAGTCTTGGGGGCAAGCACATCCCAACACAGATCGTGTCCCTGGCGACGGAGAAAACATCAGCCCATGCATTTGAATACTTCAGTAAAGGTTTGCTTGGAAGAGAATTGCAGAGTGCGCCGCCCTGCCGCAACCGCGGGGCTCAAGCTTTCACCCAATACCCTCCCTCCCTTCTGTAAAGCTGGCCGAGGCATAGGCAGGCGGATTTTCTACAGTACTGTTTCCTGGTCTGTACGTTGTCCCCTCCCCTGCAGTCTCGGGGGCAAGCACATCCCAACACAGATCGTGTCCCTGGCGACGGAGAAAACATCAGCCCATGCATCCTCCTCCTCCTCCTCCCCCTCCTTTTCCTGCGAAGTACGCAAGGTCTGAGAAACCAATCGTCCTACAGTGCGCAACGAACGACATACTGCAACACGCGTTGTGCCGCCCCAGACGCAGCCGCATGGCAACCTTTTGTACTCGCGCAGGTGCGAATCCAGGGCCAGGTGCGTTGTTAGCCGCTCTTCCTCCATCTCCTCGTTATCCTCGCTGTGGTCGTCACCATCCTATTCATATTCCGCGTCTCCTGCCTTTCCTTCTCCCTGCCCCGTGGGGGCTGCCCTCGTCCTGGCCATGGAGCGAAGGTGGTCATTACATTTCGGTGTTCGAGAACGGGACCGTGCTTGCGAACGCCACCAAGTGTCACGCTTGGGAAAAGTTCCTGCGGCTGCAAGTGGGCGAGGAAGGAGATGAAGCGGAGGAGGAAGAGAAGGAGGAGGAGGAGGAGGGGGAGGGGGAGGGGGGGGGAGGAGGAGGAGGGGGAGGAGGAGGAGGAGGAGGAGGAGGAGGAGGATGTACAGAGGAGGTAGGGGAGGGAGGGAGGGAGGGAGGGAGGGAGGGAGGGAGGAGGAGGAGGAGGAGGAGGAGGAGAAGGAGGAGTAGGGCCCTTTTCCAAGCTTCCTCTTCACAGGCCCCTACAAGGATTCGTTTCCACTCCCGTTGGGGACAGCCGTGCACATCCTGACGCGCACCAGAACACCATTCTCAGGACGTCAACGCCACGAGTCAATCTGACTGTTGCGCCTTGACGTTCCTGAAACGCGCCAGAACACCATCCCTGGGACTTCAACACTGCGAATCAACGTACCTGTTACGCCCTGACAAACCAGAATCGTTCCAAAATGCCAGCTGGCATTTGAACCATGAGAACCAATCACATTCTTGTAATGTTTAAAACGAATGTCCGCGGCACTAATGAGAGAACCACATTTTGGAAAGGAACCGCCCTCAATCAGTTTCAAAACCACCCTCCCTCAATCCGCGAAACTCTTGCAACCTTCTAAACGAAGGTGCGCGGCGTTAAGGCGAGAGCCACATTTTGGAAGTGGCCCGCCCTCCATCTGTGAAGCTGCTGTCAGTTTTTAAGCTTGAGGCCAATGCATGGGAAGAAGTCTCAAGCAAACTGCCCGGCCCGCCCTTCCGACTGGTCTCGGGGTGCCACATGGAGGAGTTTCCAGATGGAACATGAACGGAGGAGGAGCATGCTGAGGAGGAGGGGGAGGATGGGCAGGCGGGGGCAGGCGGAGGATTCTTGCGGTGGCAATTGACTGATGAGGAGGGCGAGGAGGAAGAGGAGGAGGATGGGGAGGAGTAGGAGGAGTACGAGGACGAGGATGATGAGGTTGATGCTGAGGATGAGAATGACGATGGGGATGGTGATGGCGATGGTGATGATGATGATGGTGATGATGAACATGTTGATGCTGATGATGATGATGATGATGATGATGATGATGATGAGGATGCTGATAATGATGATAATGATGATGTTGATGCTTATGATGATGGTGCTGATGCTGAGGATGCTGATGCTTATGGTGATGTTGACAACGATGATTATGATCATTATGATTCAGCTGCTGCTGCTGATGATAACGAGTATGTTGATGATGACGCTGCTGTTGATGATGAATTCTGTCTATTGTGATGATGATGATGATGATGATGATGATGATGATGATGATGATGATGATGATGATGATGGTGGTGGTGGTGGTGGTGGTGAGGATGATGATGATGATGATGATGATGATGATGATGATGATGATGCTACTGCTGATGTTGATGCTGACGCTGCTGCTGATGATGATGCTGGTGGTGACGATGGCCGCGAGCAGGGGACTCGAGGTGGCCGCGAGCCGCCCTCAGGGAGCGGTGAGGCCCCGCGTGCCCTCGAGATCTGCGGGCTCGTGCAGGGTGCTCTTCTCCTCCGCCGTGCCGTCTGGCACGCCGCGGCCGGCCGCGGCCGCTGGAGGAGCGCATCGCACACCACCCCTCATTAACTCGGTGCGCGCTCGCGCTGCCTAGATCCGAGCCCTTCAGCTCCCGCCTCGTCTGCGCCCGAGGGGGAACTTCCTTCTTGGCCTCTGCCCCCACGCGGCCCTCCTCCAAGGGGCGAGGCGTCCCGCGTCGCATCCGCGTGGTCTCGCTCCGTGGCTGGTTGGCTGTGGACTCGCCCCGCGATTGGGGTGGGGCCTTGGGGCCTTGCAGCGCGACTGAAGATTTCGCGTCGGCGGGAGTCTCGCTCCGCGATTGGTTTGGCGCCTCGCTCCGCGACGGGGGCGGCGCCTCGCTGCGCCACTGGGCGCACCGGGGCGCGAATCTCGTGCGAGGGAGCCGCGCCGCATCGGTGGGGGGCCTCGGTCCGCGATAGGCGGCGCCTCGAGGCCCTGGAGGGCAAAGTCCGCCGCAAAATGCGTAGGAAGGAACCCAGTAGTTAGATCCTTGCGGACGCGCCTCGGACCCTGGTGGAAATCCGAAGGATTCCGCAGGACACCTGAGGATTTCTGGGGCATTCTCGGTACGTATTCCAGAGGAACTTCCACGGGTTCCCGTAAGACTTCCACATGATTCTGGAGTACATCTTCACTGTTTACCATGATGTCCTCCGGATTCCATCGGGATGTCGTCAGGATTCCTCTGGGAGCCTTGCGCGTCCCTGAGACAAGTCTACATATTCTTTGGGACTTTTTCATGATTCTTTTTTTCAGGAGCCTGGAGGATTCCCGAGGTAATCCTCAATGTTCTTTGGGACGTCTTCTGGATTCCAGAGGAAACGTCATGAGGATTCTGCATGACAAATTCGGGTTGTTGGGTTATCCTCAGGGTGCCTTAGGACATCCTTGTGAATCCCTAGACACTCCTCAGGGTTCCTGAGGCAGCACCTTGAGGGTTCTGACGGAAAGCATTCGGATTCCTGGGAAATCCTTCAGATGCCTTGGGAACATCTTTCTGGGATTCTTTGAGAGTTCGCAGGTCTCTTAAGGGAAGGCGCAGGAATCTGGAGGAAAGCGCACGGAACTCGCCAGGACATCCCTGAGGGAGGGTTGCCAGGGAAACTATCAGTTTTTTTATGGAGGCAGTAGTTGCAGATTGTTGAGGAATTCTGCAGGAAGCCTCAACGATTACCAGGGACGCCCGAGGAGTATCTTCAGGGGCAAGAATAGCCCAATGCGGGCCCCGCCCGCTGCGCAGCGCTGGGCCCACCAGCCAGTTTCCCTTGGAAGGCGCTGGAGTGGTCTGTCGCGTTTGTGATCCTGGAGCCTCGCTGGGGCGCCCCCCCCCTCCCAGGGCCGTTCGGAGGCTAAACTCAGCATCATTTAATCGACAACCGACCCCCATCCCGGATCCCCATCCCCATCCCCGTCCCCATCCCCCGAGCCCGAGATCTCAGCACCCCAGTTGGGGATACACCCCTCGAAACCTGAAGGAACAACACCCTATATCATCTAGGGGGGAAGTCGGCCAGTGGGTCCAGGCCACGCTGGTGGGGAGAGGGGTCTGTTAAACGATGCTCACAAGCAGAAGGGCGTCGGACCTGTGCTACGCGCAAAACGACGGAGGCATAGCCCTCCCTCTTGCGTCGCTTGGAGTCGAGCTTGTCCTCGTCCGCCCAGTTGTTCGTTTGGCGCTCCGCTGAACGCTCCGCTCCGATCAACGGTCGCTCGCGCCTGACGTTAGTCGGGAGTGGCGCTCGCTTTGGGGGGGAGGAAGAGGAGGAGGAGGAGGAGGAGGAGGAGGAGGAGGAGGAGGGGGAAGATGACATTCCTCCTCCAGGAGCGAGCGGACTGGAGGGCGCAGTGGGGAGCCGGTTGGCCAAGGGTGGGGGACGAGGCACGTGCTCCAGCCCTGTTCCTGTGGCCGCGTCCGCCGCCCAGGTTCCAGCTCGTGAAGCAGAAGGACGGCAGCGTGTCGTTGAAGGCGTGGAGCGGACGGTACCTGTCCGCCTGCGGCCCAGCGTGCTTGCCTGCTCTCGGACTGGGGGCGTCTTCGTGGACCCACTGGCGAGGGAGCCTACTGTTACGCTGCTGCTGCTGAGGATGAGGACAGACGCCGCAGGCGTCGCCTGCGTAATGCAGGCCGAACGTCTGCTGTTGATGATGACGATGATGCTGGTGGTAACGAGGATGCTGACGCTGATGGCGACGCTGATGATGACAACTATGATGGTGATGACGTCGAGGATGACGATGACGATGGCTGTGGCGACAATGCTGCTGATGACGATGACGACGATGATGATGATACTGAGATTGATGATGACGACGACGGCGACGATTATGATTGTGAGGATGATGACGCTGATGATGATGATGATGATGATGATGATGATGATGATGATGATGATGATGATGATGATGATGATGATGCTGTTGCTAACGATGATAATGATGGTGATGGTATTGGTGATGTTGATGGCGACCACCGTGATGCTGGTGATGATGATGACGGTGACGATGACGATGGTGATGCTGATGATGCTGTTGCTGATGATGCTGATGCTAATGAAAATGACGATGCTGATGACGTCGACGGTGATGACGATGATGATGCTGATGACGCTGATGATGATGAGGATGATGATTATTATAATGATGGCGTTGATGATAATGCTGATTATGATGACTGTGATAATGATGACGACGACGATGATGAGGAGGAGTGTTATACTGTTGATGGTTATGATGCGTATGATGATGTTGATGCTGATGCTGTTTCTGATGATCATGATGTTGATGACGATGATGTTGAGAATGATGCTGCTGATGCTGATGATGATGATGTCGATGCTGGTGCTGGTGCAGATGCGGCTGCTGATGCTGCTGCTGATGGTGCTGATCCTGATGATGATTATGCGGATGATGCTGTTGGCGGTGGTGACGGTGGTGAGGATGAGGCGAATGATGATGATGATGATGATGGTGGTGGTGATGATGATGATGCTGATGATGGCGACGACGACGTCGATGACTACGATGATGACGACGATGCTGGTTCTGCTGCTGCTGATGATGGTGCTGATGACGACGATGGTGATGCCGATGATGCTGATGATGGTGATGATGGCGATGCTGTGGATGACGGTCACGATGACGATGATGCATATGCCGTAGATGACGATGTTGAGGTTAGTCTGCGGCTACTGCTTATGATGACGACACCAGTGACGATGAAGACGGCGACGACACGACGACGATGATGCTGATAATGCTGATGACGATGATGATGCTGCTGCTGCAGCCCCGATGCGCAACACGGAGCATATTGATACGGAGCTCAACACGTAGACTGAACACGTGCGTTGTGGACATGGACGTTTTGAACACGGCGCGCGTTACGTTTCAAAGCAAGCGCATCAGAACAACTAAGCCCATGAGGTCGGAGGGGGAGCGGCGAGCGGCGAGGAGGGAGGATTCGAAACGGGGGGAGGAACACGCGACTAGAAGAAGGGGGACGGAGGAGGAGGAGGAGGAGGATAAGGAGGAGGAGGAGGAGGAGGAGGAGGAGGAGGACGGGAGGGAAGAGGAGGGCGAGGAGGAGGAGGAAGAGGAGGAGGAGGAGGAGGGGAAGGAGGAGGACGATGAGGAGGAGGAGGAGGAGGAGGAGGAGGAGGAGGAGGGGGAGGAGGAGGAGGAGGAGGAGGGGGAGCACGTGACCTTCCCCCCTCCCCCCTCCTCCCTCCCGTCTTGGTCCCAGGGTCCTGGCGTCGTCACAGGAGCTCGATTATCTTCGTGCCCTTGCGTGTGACCTCGTCTCTGGAAGGAGGTCGAGGCGGAGTTTGAGGTGGAGTGATGGGGGGTTGTTGTACTTTCTGGCCCGCGAGGCGAAGAAGGCTGCGACTTGGGCGGGGCCTCGCCCCCCTCAAGAAAAAACTGACAGCTGGCAGCGGGCGGATTTGCACGTGCATCGGGAGGGACAGGACGTGATGAGGATATGGGAGGTACTGCTGTGGCCCAGGAGAGCCGCAGCGCAGCGCAGGCGCTGAAGGAGCGGGCCGCCCGCTGTCAGTCGAAGTAGCTTTTGAAGATCCGAGGTCGTAGAAATCGGTCGAAGTCGTTCTCGATGGCGTATTCCTGCAGTGGCCCGTTCGACTCGTAGATCGGCGGCTCGTACTTCTGGTCGAGGATCGCGTAGCACCAAGAGCGCACAGCGATGATCGTCGTGCCTTGCAGTGGGCGGCCACGAGCTGCAGGGGGGCTCCCATAATTCTTGCCCGAAGCGGGGTAAATCCTGACTTTGGCAGCGTGCTGGCGGTCGCTGGGGAGGCGCAGCGTTGAAAGCAAACACTTCTTCAGGAGCAGCACCGTAGGCGACCGGGGGCCCGTGAAAGTTGGCGAGAAATTTGTCTGGAACGGAATGGTCACCCAAGACCCGGGGTTGAAACGCCACGCTCTGTGCACGCGCAGTACCGATGGGTGCAGGGCATCTGCCACGAGAGGCGTGCGAGGCTAGTCAAGGTCCCCGGCGATCTGAATACCACGGACATGTTGACGAAACATTTCTGGGGCGACACGACCGACTTTTTCATGGATCGGTGCGGTTTCGTGGTTTTGGAAGGACGGAGTGAGCTGTCCCTGACGGCAGCGGTTTGAGTGCGGCTTGGGCCGGAGGTTCGGCCATCCATGCGTGCGGGCAGGAGTGCTTGCTTCTTGGCGGAGGCGCGGATTGGCGCCTAGCCTTGGGCCGGAGGTTCGGCCATTCACGTGTGCAGGCTGGAATGCTTGCTTGTCGGCGGCGGCGCGGATTGGCGCCTGGCCGAGGAGGAGTGCGGCAGTGCATCCTTCACAAGGGGCTGTGAAGGATGTATGCAATCCTTATCCGCGTTGGTTCAAACATCCATCGTCAGATTCGGATATTGCTAATCATGATGACGGCCAGGACCATGATGATTATCGTGCTAGTAATAATGACGTTGCTGAGGCTGGTGATGATGATGCTGATGGTGACGATGATGATGATGATGATGATGATGATGATGATGATGATGATGATGATGATGATGATGATGGTGATGATTATACTGCCGATTCCGACGGTGGCGGTGACGGCGGCGACGACGACGACGACGGGGACGAGTACATACGAGGAGGATGGGGACGAGTAGGAAGAGGCGAATGAGCAGGAGGATGAGTGTAAGCAAGAGGAAGAGGAGGAGGATACTGTTGGTAAGGATGACTCGGGCAACGAGGAGGAGGAGGGCGAGGAGGAGGAGGAAATTGATGACTACGTTGGCCACGATTGGGGCGGGGAATGGACGTGGAGGGGTGAGGAGGTGTAGGGCCATGGGGCCTTCTCGATATTGATGGTGTGTCTGATGTTCATGACGACGTTAGCGACGACGTTGACGCCGACGATGATGCGGATGATGATGCTGATGATGTTGATGACGGTGATGATGACGATGAGGATGCTGGTGAGGGTGAGGACGATGCAGATGATGGTTGTGATGCTGATAATGCTGATGAGCATGATGCTGATCAGGTTGATGATGATGCTGATGATGCGGGTGATGCTGATTATGATTGTGATGTTGTTGATGTTGCCGATGAAAATGCTGATGCTGATGGTACTGTCGATGATGGTGATGTTGTTGATAACCAGGATGCGGATGATGATGACGACGATGATGCTGATCATGCGTTTGATGATGCGGATGATGGTGATGATGGGGATGATGTTGATGATGAGAAGGATGATATTGATGATGATGCTTATGATAATGATCATGATGGTGGTGGTGGTGATGATGTTGATGAGGGTAACGGTCATGATGACGATGGTGATGCTGTTGATGCTCATGATGGCAAAGACACTTATTGAGGTGGTGGTAGAAGTGGTGGTAAGGATGGTGATGATGATGCTAACGATGATGATGATGACGAGGATGATAAGGATGGTGATGGTGACTATGATGATGGTTATCATTATGGTGATGATGGTGGTGGTGATGAAGCTGATGCTGATGCTGGTCATGCGCCAGCTGATGATGATGATGATGATGCTTACGATGTTGCTGCTGTTGCTGCTGTTGGTGATGATGATGATGATGATGATGATGATGATGATGATGATGATGATGATGATGATGACGAGGACGAGGAGGAATATTATGAGGTCGGGAGTAAACTGATGTGGTCGCGATGTTCGTTTCTCTACACCAGCGCCGCGCCACTTGATTGGGCACCTTGGGGACCTGAGAGACGCGCCCACCACACACCGTTACACCTGTTTGCAGATGAAGGTGATGAGGAAGAGGAGGAAGAGGAGACGGAGGAGGAGGAGGAGGAGGACGAGGGAGAGGTGACGTGTTCTTTCCATATCTTTCCTTTCCCCTCCTTTGTCGTCCCTGTTCCCTCTTCGCTCTTCCCTTGCCCTTTGTCCCTCTCCCTTCCTCCCTCGTCCCTCCTCCCTCCTCCCTACGCCCTCCCTTTTCCCTCTTTCCTTCCCTCTTCCTCCTCCTTCCTCATTCCTTCCTCCTTACACCCTCCCTCTTTTCCCTCTTTCTTCCCTCTTCTCTTCCCTCACTCCTTCTCCCTCCTTCCTTCCTCCACCAACCCTACCTCTTTCCTCTTTCCTTTTATCTTCCCTCCTCCCTCCTCCTTCCTTCGTCTTCCACCTATCTCTTCCTCCCCTTCTTTTACGTCTTCCCTTCCCCCTCGTCCTTACCTTCCCCCTCAGTGTGCGTGCACTCCTCCGTTTCCCTCTGTGTTCGTCTGACCCTCACCGTTTTGCTTCCGGTCTTCCGCTTGCCACCTCGCTCCTCGTCATGCTCGTTTGCCATCCCGAGCGTGGAATCCCCAGTGAGTGCAGTGCCTTGTGTGGGCCTGTCTCGCTTTGCGCGGCTCGCACCCTCGGCCCTTTCATCCTTCTCCCCCGCTCCCTTCCCGCCGGCACTGCTGGTCGATCGAGTGCGTCCACAGAGTGGCAATTGCATCATCTATGCCTGCTGCGTGTCGTATGCCGAACGAAAGGCAAGTGCAGGCTGCTGTTTGTACTCGTTGAGAGCACGCACCGCCAGGTCTATCTGATATGCTTCGAGCGCGCGGTACGTGCAATTGGCCTGGCACGCCCATCGCGTCTGGCACATCTATATGCTAGCATTCCGACCACGTTGAGCCCTAAGGCTGTAGTTTGCCAGTGTCTAGCCTGCGTTGGGCACTCTCGGCATCATCGTTCATTGTCGTGACGAGGCACTTTACCAGTTGTTATGGAAGCATCGTGCATCGTCTCTCTCTCTCTCTCTCTTGCTGTGGGTCTCAGGTCTCCAAGCTCCCGATTCTCACGTTCTACATGTACCGTGCCCAGGGGAACGGCGACTATCCGTGGCGCAGCGCAACGCCCTCGGCGCGCGTGGCCTCGAGCCCCGAGCCTCGGCAAGCAAAGGACATCAAAGTCCAGTCGGACTCTATCAACTTGGGTCGGCCTCGACTGGAGGGGCACTGGGAATGTGAATGCTGAGCATACGTCGAGTAGACTCCAGCGGTCTTCTCATCCAATTGACTGCACTTTCATACAGGTGCCTGCAGCAAGCCCCGCCACTGTGCCAGCGCAGCAGCGCAGCGGCCTCGAATGGAGGGGCACTGGAAAAGTGAATGCTGAGCATACCTCGAGTAGACTCCAGCGGTCTTCTCATCCAATTGACTGCACTTTCATACAGGTGTCTTCAGCAAGCCCCGCCACTGTGCCAGCGCAGCAGCGTAGCGGTCGAGTTTCAGGCCCGCTCCAATTCAGCGTCCAGTTTGCGCGGGTCTCAGACCCCACTCCGAGTGCATCTTGGAGGCTTCTTGTGGGCTTCTTTGTGATACCGTCCCTCCGAACGCATCTTGGAGGCTTCTTGTGGACCTCCTGGGGGCCTTTTGAGGCCCTCTTGGGGGCATGCTGGGAGACTGCTCGGGTCTGCGGGGGGGCTCCGCGGGAGTCTCGGGGCTGCCCGGGGCGCGATGTTTCTTCGGTGAATTCTCCTGGGGACGCCTGGGGTCGGCTGAGCGATCTTGTGTGTGCCGTGGCCTTAGATGATATTTAAAAGACGCTTTTTCAGTATTCAAGGTCGTTTTGTCGTTTGCTTGTTTGGTTGGTGTTGGCCTGTGCGGTATTATGGTTCTTGTGTGTTTAATGTTTGTGGGTTTATTACGTGCTGGGGCCTGCTTACCCGTTCTGGAGTTCTCGTCCGCGCCGTTTTCGGTTCGGTTCCGTTTCGTCATGCTTTGCATTGGTTTGGGTTGCAGTGTTTTTTGTGGTTGTCCTCTTTTCCCCAGTTTGACCGACAATCGAAATCTTGGAAAAGGATACACTCCCAGCGTTTTTCACTTTAACTCAGGTCTAGGCGGGTCTTGGGGCCGCGCTGGAGCTGGAGCCTTCTTTGGGTGGTCTGAGGCCTTCTTGACAGCTCTTTGGGGCTCTCTGTGGAGCTTTCCTGGGGCGATCTGAAACCGAGAAATGTCGGAAGTGAGAGTAGCACCAAGCCAGTGGTTTATGTGTGTTGTTGTTCGTTTGTTTGTTTTGTTTGTTTGATGTTTGCTATTATTTGTGTGTCGTGCCTCGCTGGAAGTCTCTTTGGGCGTCTCTTGGGGGCGTCCTGGTGTGTCTTGGGCCGAAGAGAGGCCGAACAGGTGCGCTCTGGGGGGGCGGTTTTCGAGGTACCGTCGCTACTTAGGTGTGTGTGTGTGTGTGTGTGTGTGGGGGGGGGGTGGGGGGTCGTCCATAGAAAGCTACAAGAACCAGAAGCCCTACCAGACAACTAACAAGCATTCTCGCACGTCGTTGCCGATCAGATCCAATCCGATGCCGAGGTCAACACTGGGAATCTCGCTGGCGTGATGTGGTACCTGCACAACGAGGTGTGCTCGCCGCACTTCTCTGATAAGATTTGCCGTGCTGAGGCAGTTCGGATTATGGTCGCTTGCGGGTTTCCCAGGTCTGATCCCAATTCGTCTGAGAATTTTCGCATTTCCTACGAGATCCCGCGTCGTTCGTCTCGCCATCGATTAATCCTTCTTGGCAGGGTCCCAAGACGTTGCAACAACTTGTGTTGTCTGATCGCCGCCTCAAGCATTTTGTTATGTTGTCTTTCCCACGGGTATCGTTATTTTTTTCCAGATTGGAGCGCTCTCGGTCCTTCAAGCATGGTGTTTGCCCTGCAGTTTTGGTCGCATTTCAGGATCGGTCTGGTGTTCCTGTCGTTCAGAGTGGCGCTCTTGCCCCAGCTCGGGCCAGATTCCTGGATCAGATTTCGTTGCCGCACCCTTCCTTTCCCCTCATCAGCTTTCCCCTGGTCCTCCTGCTCCTTCCGCTTCTCCCTCTCCTCCTGCTCCTTCTGCTGCTGATCCTCCTTCCTCCTTCTCGTCCTCCTGTTCATCGTTTTTCCGCCACCGCATCTTCCCATGCTCATGGCATTTTAGTCGTCGAGGGCACCCCAGTCAGCGGAAAGAACAGAATTCAGCGCAGCGGGAACCGATGGGTGGCAGGGGCAGGATGTCACATATGGCACACGATCGCGCCTAGCTTGTCCCTTCCCCTCTCAGTGTTCTCATCTACGAACTACTTACAATGAGCACTACTCTCCTCTCTTCCCTGATGATGTGCTGCCATGTGCCCGTCCCCAGGTGTTGATCATCTTGTCTCACGCGTAGACGCGTTCTTGTTTTTAACCAATTGATGCGACTCCGCGTGAGGTGGTGGTCGAGACGCCGCGCAAGTACGGGATCGAGCGCATCATCCGGATGAAGTTCCAGACCACCTCGACCAAGGCTTCGACGACGCTAGCCATGTACCAGACTAGTTCGATGTACGCTTCCACGCATGCTGCCACGCGTGGCGGCGTGCATCGAGCTGACCTGGGACATGGTCGGCGTCGTTGAGCAAGGCGTTGGCTGAGGTGGGCCTCAATTTCGGTGTCCGCTTCGCCTACGACACGGGCATGTGCACCGGCGCCCACATGGGAAAGATTGCACACACAAGCCTTTCGGAGGTCGGCGCTGGCTTCTTGGGTTGGAGCTGGACCCCCTCGCCTGGCGTTCGGAGCGGTGTCGCCCGTGGCGCGCTCTGCGCTCCATGGGAAGCGGGATCCAGCGCAGACCCAAGAAATCCTCGGGGCCTCCGATTTTCTGCCTCCAGGCGCGGGCCCCATCAACGGCTACGCAAGCTGCAGGGACCTCTACGCCAGGCTGGGGCACTTCATTGGCTGCAACTACTTGGGAGATTACCCGTTCCCCATGGCCTCCAAGGGTTTCTCGAGCTTCTATGAGGGTGGTATGTGGTACAGCTTGCCGAAAGAGGGGGCCTGCATTAGCGCTCCTTATGGAGGTGACAACTGCACATATTTCTACGAGGATGCAGGTAGCGTTGACATCGGAGATCTCCACGACTTGGGCAATGGCTACTGGGACTGGTACAACAATCCCGACATGAAGGAGTACGACAGAGACACAGACGAAGGTGTTGGGAGCGACTTCTGGAACGGCATCGAGGACGTGGAGGGCAACAAGAAGCGCGTACAGCGCGCGCTTGCTCTATTCAGCGAGAAGTATCCAGATATCCCCTCGCAAGATGCCTACCCGGACCCAGTCTGCGACTTCAACTGCAAAAAGTTTTATTCGAGCGAGGAGATGGAGAAGGTCGGTGGAGAGTGCCAGTGCAGCGAGCACGAGGCTGCCCTGGCTTTCATGGACAAGGTGAGCCCAGAGCAGTGCAACCTTGATGCTACCTCCGGCCTTCAGAACGTCGGCTACTACCAGGGGGATTAGGGAGGATCTGGATATTCGAACATGTGCTACAGTCAGAAACTGTGGCTTAGCGTGTCGCGCCGCTGGTTCTGGCCCACCATGCTTCGGCGCGACACGCTAACCACGTCACGGTCCCCGAGAGTCCAGGTCCTGAGCCTTTTTCATCCTCAGGCCCTATCCGCTTGCACGGCATAGCGCGTCGAATGGGCCGCCGCCGCGACACGCTAAGCAAAAGTTCTTGACCGTAGTTTTGGAGCAATTCATTTATATGCGCCACCGTGCCCCCTCCCGAAGCAATGGAGGATGGGCGGTGCCTTTTTTTAAGCAGCCAGTGTTGCTGTCCAATTTGCTGGAAACGTTCTGGCAGTCCGTGTGCTTGTGCACGCCTGCTTCACAGTCTATCTCCTGGGGAAATAATTCCGCATGGCCGCTGGTAGATCAGTGGTCGAAAACTGGCGCAATTGGACACAATCCCTTGCAATCCAGTTTACTCCCGCTCAGTCTGGCTTAACGGCTTAATCCCATGTTGGCATAGACCTGCTTTATGGCCTTGAATCTGGCTGCATAGTTCCTAATCGTGCTCATGCAGACCTTCCAGACGTTGCTTCCTAATGTCCTTGGAAGAGACCTCCGCACATCGAGCGACGCGCACGTGGCTGGAACCATATGCGGTCTTTCGGATAGGGCATCTGGAGGCTGGGTTCGGGGGCGACCAAAAGGTGTGAGTGCCATGTCTCCGGACATCTAGCTGGCTGCTCCTGCTCGTCAGCCCCCGCGCGGCCCGCGGGGCATGGGGCGACCAGATGGCGCCAGGAGAATCCGAGTTGGAGCCGGCTAGGGGGCTGAGGTGGCCCAGCACGAGTTCCGGCCAGCAGAAGAGGGGAAGCAAGGGGCCCACTCGTCGCCACGACTGGACGCGGTTCGAAAAATTGATCGGTATCGACCCTGGGAGAGGTCTTTGAGAAGACTTGCCCTCGTCCCGCCCTCTTGGTCGACTTTCTCGGGGCCCATCCAGCGCAGAGCCCCCGACCGCTTTCAAATCCGAATGTCCGTTTACGACAGTGAGCAGTCGATTCCATCAGTCTTCTGCCACCTGGTGGGCCAAGTGAACGGGCTCAGGCGATTGCAAGCCTTTCCAGCTGGCGCAGTGCTGGGGCGCCCGTGCTGCTCCTGGGGCCTGGGTACACGTGGCCTGGGTCCACCTGCGGGGCGCAGAGGTAATCCTCACGATTTGTGCGTCCGGGTCCGGGGCACACCGGCGGCCCTTCTCCAAGGGGGCGGCGCGAGGGCGAGGGCGCGAAGATAATCGCGCGTCGTGCATCGCTGGGCGTGGTGGGCGAAGTTAGGTGACCTGTGCGCGTGGCCGTCGCATGTTCCCCATGGCGCGTTCCCCAAGAAGGGCCTCGCCTTCGGCGCGTCTCGCCTTCGGCGGAAGCTGGCGCAAGGCGGGCGGAAGCGGGCGGAAGTAAGACGACGTCTGGTCCGAGGGCGGAAGTTCGGCGGACGGAGGCGAATTACACAGTGAGGCATCAACATTTTTGGGTTCAGGGTTCCTGGTGTCGACCACATGTCAGTGCAGCCCAGTGTATTTCCAGCCTTCTGGTCTGATCCACCAGCGGGAGTGATTCGCAAATGCGGCGTTCTAGCGTCCCTTTTCTTGGGCAGGATGCAAACAATCGATTGCAAACTTTATTCTCTTGCACAGGGTGTCTAGAGCTCCGACCACTTTATTTCGGCACCGCACCCCCCCCCTTCATCATCATCACCAGCATCATCATCATCATCATCATCATCATCATCATCATCATCATCATCATCATCATCATCATCATCATCATCATCATCATCATCATCATCATCATCATCATCATCATCATCATCATCATCATCATCATCATCATCATCATCATCATCATCACCATCATCATCATCATCATCATCATCATCCACATCATCATCATCATGCGCCCCCTCCGTCTCAGCGCCCTCCCGCGGCTCCAGCGCCCGCCCAGTGCCCCCTCCGCCCCGACCACTTTATTTCGGCACCGCACCCCCCCCCGCTCCGCCCCCTCCCCCGCGCCGTCTCAGCGCCCCCCCGCGGCTCCAGCGCCCGCCCAGTGCCCCCTCCGCTTCGACCACTTTATTTCGGCACCGCACCCCCCCCCGCTCCGCCCCCGCCCCCGCGCCGTCTCAGCGCCCCCCCGCGGCTCCAGCGCCCGCCCAGTGCCTCCTCCGCCCCGACCACTTTATTTCGGCACCGCACCCCCCCTCCCCGCTCCGCCCCCTCCCCCGCGCCGTCTCAGCGCCCCCCGCGGCTCCAGCGCCCGCCCAGTGCCCCCTCCGCCCCGACCACTTTATTTCGGCACCGCACCCCCCCCCGCTCCGCCCCCTCCCCCGCGCCGTCTCAGCGCCCCCCCGCGGCTCCAGCGCCCGCCCAGTGCCCCCTCCGCCTCGACCACTTTATTTCGGCACCGCACCCCCCCCCCGCTCCGCCCCCTCCCCCGCGCCGTCTCAGCGCCCCCCCGCGGCTCCAGCGCCCGCCCAGCTCCAGCGCCCGCCCAGCGCCCCCTCCGCCTCGACCACTTTATTTCGGCACCGCACCCCCCCCCCGCTCCGCCCCCTCCCCCGCGCCGTCTCAGCGCCCCCCCGCGGCTCCAGCGCCCGCCCAGTGCCCCCTCCGCCCGACCACTTTATTTCCGCCTCCGCCACGCCACTTTATTTCGGCACCGCACCCCCCCTCCCCGCTCCGCCCCCTCCCCCGCGCCGTCTCAGCGCCCCCCGCGGCTCCAGCGCCCGCCCAGTGCCCCCTCCGCCCCGACCACTTTATTTCGGCACCGCACCCCCCCCCCCGCTCCGCCCCCTCCCCCGCGCCGTCTCAGCGCCCCCCCGCGGCTCCAGCGCCCGCCCAGTGCCCCCTCCGCCCGACCACTTTATTTCGGCACCGCACCCCCCCCCGCTCCGCCCCCTCCCCCGCGCCGTCTCAGCGCCCCCCGCGGCTCCAGCGCCCGCCCAGTGCCCCCTCCGCCCCGACCACTTTATTTCGGCACCGCACCCCCCGCCCCGCTCCGCCCCCCCCCCGCGCCGTCTCAGGCTCCCGCGCGGCTCCAGCGCCCCGCCAGTGCGGCTCTTATTTCGGAAAGCTCCGCCCCCTCCCCCGCGCCGTCTCAGCGCCCCCGCCAGCGCCCGCCCAGTGCCCCCTCCGCCCCGACCACTATTTCGGCACCGCACCCCCCCCCGCTCCGCCCCCTCCCCGCGCCGTCTCAGCGCCCCCCCGCGGCTCCAGCGCCCGCCCAGTGCCCCCTCCGCCACGACCACTTTATTTCGGCACCGCACCCCCCCCCCGCTCCGCCCCCTCCCCCGCGCCGTCTCAGCGCCCCCCCGCGGCTCCAGCGCCCGCCCAGTGCCCCCTCCGCCCGACCACTTTATTTCGGCACCGCACCCCCCCCCCGCTCCGCCCCCTCCCCCGCGCCGTCTCAGCGCCCCCCCGCGGCTCCAGCGCCCGCCCAGTGCCCCCTCCGCCCGACCACTTTATTTCGGCACCGCACCCCCCCGCTCCGCCCCCTCCCCCGCGCCGTCTCAGCGCCACGCGGCTCCAGCCCGCCCGGCACCGCCCGCTCCGCCCCCTCCCCGCGCCGTCTCAGCGCCCCCGCGCGGCTCCAGCGCCCCGCCCCAGTGCCCCCTCCGCCCGACTTTATTTCGCCCCCTCCGCGTTCGCACCCCCTCCCCCGCTCCGCCCCTTCACCCGCGCCGTCTCAGCGCCACCTCCCCCGCGCCGTCTCAGCGCCCTCGCGCGGCTCCAGCGCCCGCCCAGTGCCCCCTCCGCCCCAACCACTTTATTTCGGCACCGCGCCCTCACCCCGCTCCGCCCCCTCCCCCGCGCCGTCTCAGCGCCCCCGCGCGGCTCCTGCGCTCGCCCAGTGCCCCCTCCGCCCCGACCCCTTTATTTCGGCGCCGCACCCCCCCCCCGCTCCGCCCCCTCCCCCGCGCCGTCTCAGCGCCCCCGCGGCTCCAGCGCCCGCCCAGCGCCCCCTCCGCCCCGACCATTTTATTCTCTTGCACAGCTGTGTTCTAGAGCTCGGACCTCTTTATTTTCGTTCGTCGTTCGTTCGTCGTTCGCCGTTCGTCCCCCCCCGGCCACAGAAGGAAACTCCTGGGGGAAGGAGGCGAACGCCTCCTGTCCCTCGCAGCTCCTCGGTGCAAGAGCCAGGGCACGCGTGCCACTTGTTGAGAACGTTTGCGGCGACTTCCCGGCCGCCCTCAATATTCGACGTAGTCTTGATCGCAGGACTTTGTGGAGGCTTGTTCGCGTGCGTGTGTGTGTGTGAGGGGAGAGGGAGAAAGAGGGAGATGTTGTTGCCGGGCGAAGACATCTGTCTATGTGTATATGTTCTGTATTAATCAGACTTTCAAGTGCAATCGACCTCTCAGGGCCTCTTGGGGTGGCGGGTTCGGGGCTTGTCGGCGTCCTGGAGCAGTGTTGGCATGTCTTGGGTCCGTTTGGGCAGGTCTTGGAGCCCTCTGGGAGACTTCTGAGGCCGTCTTGGAGTCGGAGCCGTCTTGTGACCCCGTGGGCAGTCTGTCAGCTGTCCTGGGGCGGTCTCGGGCTGCCTTGGGGTTCGACCTGGTAGGGCCTTCTTCGCGCTGCCTTGGGCTGCCCAGGGCCCTGTTGGGGGCCACTGTGGCCGCCTGGAGGCCGTCAGGGGCGGCCCCCAGGTCGCCTGGAAGCTCTCAAGAAGCTGTGCGGCAAATCCGACCGTTGTGCGCTGGAGCGTTGACGCCCCTTGTCGGGGTGGCGGGTCCTATCGTTGCTCCGCATGTTCCCCCCCCCCGCCAGCTGGGATGTCTTCACCCCCTCATCCAGTGGCTGCGCATCCGAGGGTCACTCTGAGGAGTAAGGAGCGCGCCGCAAGCGTCACGAGACGGGCGGAAGCAAACTTGTTGGGAGTTTCAGTCGGAAGATTCGGGATGAGTTCTTGTTCCCCCCCATGACCCGAGCTGCCTCGATACGCCCGCTTCTGTACGCAACACGTACCGTGCTCGAAACGTCCGTGTCAATACGTTGCGTGTTGGCTCAACGTATTGGCCCACGTTTTGGCGAACGTATCGCGTCAGACCTACGTGTCCAGTCTACGTGTGGAGCGCCGTATCAATACGGCACGTGTTGCGTGTTGCGTATCGGGACAGCTAAGCCCAGGACCCGTCTGTCCACGGCGACGAGGGAATAGGCATCGGCATCGCAACGTCCCTCTCCCCCTACAGACCTCGCGCATGCGAAGGGTCTACTGCACGGCTCGGGTATCCATATACATTCGAGGCAGTTCGAGCCACGAGGTAATTGCCTTTGGTTCTGAATGCCCGCCGCGGGCGTGATACACGCGGTTGCAGCATCCTGTGCCCGAAATCATGTCAGGCTCTTGGCGTGTCTTTCCGTTCGCTTCTCTTCGCGTCTCCATCTGTTCCCGCTTCCCGCCTCCCCGCATCCCGCATTCAGCCGTAGATTCTGGCTCATCGTCCTCCTGTGCCCACCCACAAGGACGCATGGGTCCACACATTCTGGGTCCGCCTAGAGTCTGGTTCATTGCCCTTCTAGGCCTACCCCTTGGGAGTCTAGATCACTTCATTCAGTCGCCAACTTTGGTTTATCTAGAACCTGGTCACGCTCGTCGTTCGCCACACATCCCTCTCCATCATTGTCATCATTTCAGCAATGCCCTCGTCTTCCCATGGTCGCTGCCTGCAGCTTGACTCCCAATCCGTCGCCAGGCGTCGACTTTCTGAGAAATGCCAAGACCCGAGGAAGTATGAGACGGGCGGCGTCCTGTGATATCGTGGGAAAGGCTGGCAAGGATGAATAGGATGAGAGGGATGAGGAGGAGAATTGAGGAGGAGGGGGAGGAGCACAAGGAGGGAAGGAAGGAAGAAAGGAGAAGGAGCAAGGAGAAGGAGGAGGGAGGAGGAGGATAACGAGGACCAGGGTAGACCCAGTGTGCATTAAAGATGCTGCGGTGCGCCCTCCCGTGCCCAGTCCCGTCATAAAGTACCTACACATAGTCCTCCTCGCTGCGTCACGCGCCCCCTTGAAAGACGAGCGTCCAGCGGGTCTGCTATTCAGGCGGGAGCTCCGTTTCGAACAGGGTCCGCCATCCATCCGTCTTGGTGTATTGTCCGGAGGTTCTAAGAGCAGAGCTGTTCAGCGAGGACCCTGTTTTTCAAGCAGTGGCGAGGCGTCCTGGTTATCTTTCAGGCCTGCCAACTAATGTTCCAACAACCTGTTGTGGTTTGCACGACATGTTCTTTCATCATTTCTGGCTGAGACCGTCTTGGTTTAAGATATCGGCGTCATTCCCTACCTAGGCTCTCTCTGCCTAGAAGGGTTCTTACCGTCTGTGCTTAAAGGGGCCGGGCAGTGCAAAACGCCCCGGGCGGTTCCCCCAGCATCCGCCCCGCGGTTCACCCAGTTACGTCCCCTTAACTGAGCGGTGCTTATCTCATCTTAGCTTAGCTTATTTCATATTAGATTAGCTTAGCTTCATCTTCGCTCAGGCTATCTTAGCTTAGCTTACCTTCATTTTAATTAGCTCCGCCGAGCTTTAGCATCGCAGACCACAGCATAGCATAGCAGAGCGTAGCATAGCATAGAGCAGCACAGCATATCATAGCATAACCCAGCATAACGTACCATAGCGCAGCACAGCATATCATATCACAGCATCGTATAGCACAGCACAGCACAGCATAGCACATCGCAGCATAGCATAGCATAGCACAGCAGCAAAGCCAATGCAAAGCAACAGCAGCGACAGCAAAGCAAAGCAGAAACAACGCACATCAAAGCAAACCAACATCAAAAGCAAAGCAAAGGTAAGGCAAACGAAAAGTAATGTGCGACAGATGCCGAGCTAGCCTCGATGGCCGGACCGCAGCCCCCGCAAGCAGTGCCTTCAGTGACCATTTCGGCTCAAGTCTGGAGGCCCTGCCACACAGCCGCCCACGCTCATGTCCCGAGGTTTGCGGAGTGAGGCGTTCAGCGGTGCTGCGCAGCCCGCCTCGGCACCAGGTGGTGCTGCACAGCCCACCCGGCCTGTTGTGGCCATCGATGTGAGCGACGTCGCGTCCAAGCGGAACGACGATGAGCGGGTTGAAGGCAGCAACATGTACACGGTTGTCGAGGATGGTTTCTGGGCGTTCGTTGCGCTCTTTGCGGCTGAGTACGGCCTGCAAGACATACACTTCATCAGTCGCACGACGCGGGGCACGTGGTACTCGCAGAATGCCCGCCTGGGCAGGGTAGGGGCGTGGGTCGCCAGGCTGATCCGGAGCACAGGCTTGCTCGAGATGGGGGTGCCTGACGCGAACATCCATTTGACGTCTCAGAAGAGCGGGGAGGATGGTAAGGGCGTTGCTTCTCGGCACTTGCAGCTGACCCACATGATCGACAACGATCCCGAGTGTTTGATGTGGAGTGTCTTGAACGACGGAGTTGGCAACTCGGGCCAGTCGATCAGGCGGAGCAAGGGCCGCGTCATCCAGTGCACGCGCATCCGCCCTGTGGACAGCAGGCGGTGGCTTGATGAAGACGACTGGCTGGAGAGGTGCGACTCGTGGTTCCAGGTTGCCGAATACTTCCAGCTGGAGCCACTGGCCATATGGGATGAGTTGGCGAAGCTCGGGCCGCCGGCGATGCCCCGCCCCGCGTCGCGCGGAGGCAGGCCCCTGACAGCGGCGGACGTGATCGATCTGCGTCAATGCGGCGGTCGCCGCGAGCCTAGCCGCAGTCTCGGCTGTCTGCGCCGTCCTCGCGGCGACGACGACGACGACCACGCTGATGAGCCTCGCCGAGTTGAGGCCAGGCGCCGCAGGGGCAGCGCTGTGCAGCCTGCCGACGCTTGGCCAATTCAGGCGTCCATGGTTCCAAATGAAGAGCCGCAGTGGACTCGCGCGCGACGGCCGCCTCTGCCCGCGACCCTGGGTGCCTGCGTGCCTGGCTGTCACTTCAGAGCTCAGCACCGTGGCCACGGCGCATTCAGGGTTTCGTACCTGCTGGAAGCCGTGCGTCCCGACGATGGCCACCCATTCTCCGGCAAGGTCCCCGAGCTCTGCAAGGAAGCGGACCCAGGCCCCAAGCTCTTTGCAGAACGCGGGCGCAGCGGCGTTTACCCGCACATTCTTGCGGCAGCGCCCGTCTTTGAGCTCGACAGCTTTGCGCAGCCTGTCTGTCAATGGAACGGCTGGATCACTGAGCTAGCCGTTCCATTGTACCAGGCGCTAAGGCGCGGTGCATGCTCCGAACAATGCATTGTTGGAGCAGCGCGTTGCATGATCCGAGCGGCCACGCATGGGCATTCCATGGATGACCCGCCCCTCTGCAACTTTGGAATGCTGGAGGGCGACGTCGTCATGGTCGACGCTGGCTGCCCGCCTCTGTTCGACGAGGAGATGGCAAAGTCACAGTTCAACAAGAACGCGATGCAGAAATTATGGGCCAGAGCTGGGCTTTCCATCGCGCCCGAGGAGCTGGCCAGATACCAAGGCGCATGGCATAATGCTTCGACGGTGGCCGACGCGCACGTCGCATTCGATTCCCTGTGGGGCTCGCCGAAGCAGAGCTGGACAGCCTGCGCCTGCGTCTGTTCCCGCTCGTCCTCGCACCGCCCTCTCATCCAGCGGCGCTGAACAGCCTGCGCCGCGGCATCTTCCCGCGTGTCCTCACGTGGCCGAAGCTGAGTCTGGAGGAAGCGGCAGAGCTGGACAGCCTGCGCCCCAGCATCGCGCTGCATGTCCTCACTTGGCCGCTGTCTTGGAGGAGCTCCCGGGCGAAGTGCCGGAGTGCGTCGCGCGCAACTCCCTCTGGGGCAAACTGTCAGGGCACGGGCTCCTCCCTGACGGCGCTGTCGGGCACCTCCCGGACGGCGAGCGCTGCGCTGCTGAGGTCAAATTGGAGCTGCTGACCAGATTGACAACCGGACGCCGCGAGAGAATATGCAACGACTCCAGCATCGACAGCCTGAGCGAAGAAGAGCTCGATCGCGCCTTGCGCGATTGGAGAGGCGAGCACGAGCAATGGGCGCACCCCAAGACGCTGCGAGTGTGGCGGGCGGCATCGGGGCAGCAATGGCATCAAATGTCGCGGTGCGCTCTCCGCGCGTTCCTTTTTCAACTCGCTGGGAGCTACGGGTTCACCGTTTTCTTTCTCGCTGCTCCTTGCAGCGGTCGCAACTTGGAACTAGACCGCAGCTCGCGGAACAGCTTCGCAACTGGAGCCGAAGCTCTTGAGAAAGCCAAAGATGCCCCACGCCAGGCGGCAGGAGCGATCCAGCATGGACAGACGGCCTGAAACATGAAACATGTACCTATGTGTGTATCGATGTATGCACCTATGTATGCATGTAACTGGGTATGTATATATATATATATATGTGCGTATGTATGTATGTATCCGTGTCTGCTTCTATGTATGTATCTATGTATGTTTGAATATATGTATGTCTATGTATATTTGTGTATGCTTGTAGGTTTAAAAGTATGTGTATATGTATGTATGTCCATAGCGGTCTGTGGTTGTCTGCAGGATGTTGCGCGGCCTAATGTCGTTCGGGCTGGGCGGCGCCAATGCCGGCAGCGCTGCGCAGCCTGCTGCCACATACGCCTTGATGATACTCAGTGCTGAACAGCCTGTTGACCCCGCCGCGGCAGGTTTGGACGCGCGCTGGCAGGTTGAGCATTCGACGGACCAGTGGTGGGACATCCCCCTTTCGGCAGTCATTGAGAAGTTCTACACGGAGTCAGCACCTGGCGCCACTTGCATTTATGACTGGGGGGACGGCAGGATCAGTCGTTATGAGATCCACTTTGCGAGGCGTGAGCAGGTGAACATCGACGCGCGTCGTGTTCGTCGGGTACGGAGTGCGTTCGTGGAGACCCCCGTTCAAGCCTTGAGGTAAAGCTGTTGCGCAGACAGAAGTGCTGAGTAGCCTTCGAGGCGAAGTGCTGAACAGCCTGCGTTGTGGCCGACCTCCGTTCAAGCCTTGAGTTGAAGCTGCTGTGCAGATAGAAGTGATGAATAGCCTTCGAGGCGCAGTGCTGAATAGCCTGCGTTATGGCCGCGGCGATGCAAACTGTTGTGGGGCGGGCGTGGAGGCGAAAAACATCATCGTCGTCGCCGCCGTCGCCCCCGCCATGGGCACCATCGCATCGCCGCAGCATCCACCGCCACCACCCTCGCCGGACGAGGCGAGGACTGGCGAAAGCAGGAGGACCACGCTCGCACGCAGCAGGCGAGGGCATGGTTTTGAAAAGGTTGCCGCCGACCTCCACGGGGTCTCCTCGGGCCTCCTCCGTTTGCCCTGATGGTCCTTAGCTTAGCTTAGCTTAGCTTAGCTGCAGATGTGGATGTAGATGTAGCTGTAGATGTAGATGTAGGTGTAGGTGTAGCTGTAGATGTGGAATGATGCATATGTGTGTGCGTGCGCATGTTTGTGTGTGCGTGTATGTGTTCAGCACCGCGTCGCAATGCCTTTCATCCTCGTTGCCGTTCAGTTTCAATTCCGCGACTCGCATTGCCACGCAGGAGCGCG